CAACCACATCTCTGGCCCGTTGGCTTTTGGGTAGGCCTGGAAACAGTGCCACCCTGTTCAAATGTGGCAGCTGACCATGTGTGTTGTGATCACAGTTCTGGCCATGACCTAACCACCACCCATTAGTCTCCTGATGACTGTCCACTACCTCTCTCCCAAGATGCCTCCTTGGGGTCCTTCACAGATCATCCAAATGTTAATAATGCAGGTGTCGTCTGCTTTGGTACCTTTAGTCATGACTAGCCTGGTTTGAAGGTGCCCTGTCCGTTTGTAGTGGTTATGCACTGGGTTGCTAATCACAAGGTTGGCATTTCAAAACCACTAGCCACCCCTCATCCTGCTGTTAAGAGTTACAGTCTCAGAAACCCATAGGGACAGTTCAATCTGGTCCTGTAGGCATCCGAATGGAGTCGATGGCAACCAGTTTGGCCTGGGGCTGGTTTGAAGCTCTTGGGACAGCTCCAATTATGTAGGTAACACTACGTGTTTCCCTTGAAAAGGCATCCATTGGAAGTCCGTGGAGAGGACAGTGTCTCCCCAGCTGGTGCTCACGGAGATTGCCACACAGACAGAGTTAACACCATCAGGGCCTCTAGGAAGACTCCTCAGCAAGCTCTCACCCCTGGAAGCTGCTATGGACACCGTGAAAGCAAGCGTCAGTAAGCTGGAGGATTCACAGAAAGACAGGGCTGAGAGACTGACAGTCTCTGAGTTGGACGGATGAGGATTTCAGTAGGTCACGAAGGCTTTTGGTGAGGGTGGGTGTGGGTGAGTGAAAATCCCAGAGGCTACCTGTAACCTGTGTGGTGATTAGCGCCATCCCACTTGAACAGCATGTCCTGAGAGTCACACCGCACTCGCTGAAACGCTTTCCTGCTAACACCCTAAGAGACTGCCCCCCTGCCCTCAGAGACCTCACCCAACTTGCCATGCCAGGGAAGAAGCTCCGCGTCACTGGAAAATGCTAAGGAGAGGTGTGCTGACTGCTGCTCCGGGGGCGAGACTTGAGCAGCAGGAACCCCTATAACTCGTATAGCTCCCCGGGTGCTGTGAGGGCCAAACAGGAGAGAAAATGAAAGAAGGGTGCAGAAAACTGCATGCCTGGGCGGGGCAGGGGATGATGGGACATGCAAGGGAGGAAATGAGCCTCTGTGATCTATAAAGTCCATTCAGATCTCAAACCTGTGACTTCATCTGATTAATAAATGAATGAACGACTCCACAGTCGCATTCCAAGGCGCCCTGGTGGTGCAGTGGTCAAGGATTGAGCTGCGCAGAGGGGGAGCCCATTTGCCTCTCTGCGGGAGAAAGAGGTGCCATCTGTTTGCATAAAGGCTGCAGGGAAAGCGTATGGACCAGCTGCTGTAAGTCGGCACTGCCTGGATGGCAATGGCTCTGAGAGCACTCGAGGTTCCTATTGCTTGGCATGATAATGCACCCATCACATCTCCCCTTCTATCAAAGGGCAGGTTAAACCTTCAATGGCACCGAGTGGGACCCTTGAATAAAATATTTTAAAATCTCCCCTTTTCACGACTCATCACATGGATACAGAGTGGCACAGAGCTGTCTGTGTGAAGACAAGACTGATATGTATTCCCGGCAGCTCTGGAAGAACAGTGGATAAGAAGGTAGGGAAGAAAAGTCGTTTCACTTTTTAACACTAATGAGCAGACCAAAGGTCTGGCTGTTCTTCTGCCACGACTTACGTTCACTTCACACTGATGTGTAAGGAGCCTTGGGGTGCACTGGTCAAGCACTCGGCTGCTAACCGCCAAGTCGGTGACTGGAACCGCGGCTGCTCTGCTCCATGGAGACACGTGAGGCCCTCGGATTCTGTACTGAAGCCACAGGGGCGGTCCTCGTCAGTCCTCTATGGTCACCATGAGTTGGAGTCAGCGCGGTGGTAGTGCATTATCTACTGATATGGTGGAATGCGCGAATTCTGCTTGCCTGTCTTCTCTGCCACAGTGCTACATGACCTGGTTAACGAGCAGTGCCTGTAAACAGGTGAGCATCTTTCCCTAGGAAGCTAAAAATCTGCCGAAAGAAAAGAACCTGGAATGAAGTAGAACAAGGGAAGGTCTGGGATGAGGGAGGAAACATGGAAAAAACTGCTTGAAAGCCTCAAATGAACTCTCTTGGAAGTCCTGGTGCTGTAGTGGTTACGCATTGGGCTGCAATCTGAAAGGTTAGCACACCAGCTGCTCAGTGAGAGAATGGAGGGG